TGATGACCTAGGTTTATACATAAGGGCATTTTAGACCTTTGTTAAAAACCCATAAATGATTTTAAAAAAAGGAGTTTTGAATTTTGGCCACGGCTCTTTTCCCCTCTCATACACGGCTCTGCTCCGTTGCCGTCCCCATTCTCTCTCCTTCCTTGCCCTCCCCCATACTCTCTCTCCTAAAAAACGTAGAGCCTCTGCTCTCTCCCCTGCCCGCCCCTTGTGTTCCCCATTCTCTCTCCTTCCTTGCCCTCCCCCATACTCTCTCTGTTAAAAAACGTAGAGCCTCTGCTCTCTCTCCCCATCGCTAGGAGGTGCTGGTCTCCTGAATTGCACAATTGCTTTGTAAAAGCTCTGCAATAATTCGGTGGATCTCAAGGTAAGTTTTCATTAATCTGTTTTTATTTTTCACATCTCTTTCTCTCTGCTTATTTCTCTCTCCAAGTTGTCTAAAACTTATCTCTCTCTCTCCCTCTCTCTCTCTCTCTCTCTCTCTTTGTGGACCTCTGTTAAAGTTATTATTCAATGATGTCTCTCTGTGTTTAACTAGAAAGCTTCAATTGTGATTAGAAACTTGGATTGACTGGAGTTTATTTGAATTAGAAAACATTGAAGATTATTAAAGTGTGGGGACTGTTGAATTTGATAGTAAATGGTAGGAAGAAATAACATGGAGGTCTGTGTATCAATGAACTGCTATGGTTCACCACAGTACATAAGCGATGCATACAAAGACAGAAAATTTTTTTTTTCTTGTTTGTAATTATTTACTATAATTATCGACTTGTTTCAATGAACTGCAGTTATTGACTTGTTTGTAAATCTTGTTGAGATCCAACACATATGCAAAGTATTCAACAAAATTCCTAATCGGGGCCTGTTATGATACCATAATTCCTAGAGATTTTCATGCATTGCATCCCCATTGCCAAAGAATTTTAATGTATTTTCTATTTGGTTTGTCTTTTAATTTAAATTTGGGCAAGGTACCCCCTTTTCTTTTTAGTTTTTAAAAATCTCCCGTTGCCATTTTTATAGCAACTCTTTCTCTTTTTATAATCACAGTGACCTAGATGATGGACCCACAGTTGCCATTTTTATAGCAACTCTCTCTCTTTCAAATTTATAATCACAGTGACCTAGATGATGGACCCACACAGTTTATGATCCAAAATCCATATCAATGATGGATTTTGGGAGGTCGACTCAATGTAACAGGTGTGTCTCAAAGCACACCAAAATTGTATACCTCTTTAATATATATGCAAAATAGATATGGGAGAGTTAATTCTATAATATAAGGAGGGCGATGAACCTCATCCTTATCTAAATCTAATACCATTTAGCACGACGCAAAAATCTAGTACATTTGTTTATTTTATATATGCAATTGTTGGAAAAAAAGAAGAGAAAATAAAAATAGCTATTAGAAATAGGAATGAGTGAAATACAAAATAAAAACTGAAACATGTTTATTAGAGTATTCCATACATGTTTATTAGAGTATTCCAACATGACCCTTCTATTCTTACTTTCCCAAAGAATAATAGATACTCTGACAAAATCAAGTTTTTTTTTTCCTTTTTTTAATGTTTACTGTTAGTAAAATTGTTGTAGTAAAACTCAATTTGCAGTCCATTCTAGTCCATCCATATGGGGTGGCATGGTCAGTATATCAGTATCTGTGGTAGTTTGTTCTGCTAATTTTAAGAAAAAGGTTGCCTTTTATCAAGTGGGTTGTTGTTACTTGAGAGAGAGAGAGAAAGAGGGAGAGAGAGAGAGTAATGTTATCCAAGCACTCTGTTTTACTCTTCTGATAACATACCAAAAGAAAAGCTTGTCTTTTGTCAACTAGGAATTATCTTCAATTTTGATGAATAAAAGAGAGAGAGAGAGAGAGAGAGAGAGAGAGAGAGAGAGAGAGAGAGAGAGAGAGAGAGAGAGATCCCCTAATGCAATTCAGTCACTCTCTGTTGCTCTGATAATTTACAAAAGTAAGGAAAAGATATGCTTAAGAAAGGGTTATCATTGATTGTTATTCTCTGATTAATGCAGCTTGGGAACCCACTTTTGGATTTCTCAACCGATTTCAATTCGAGAGCTGAGTTCTTCTGGTCTCATGGTTTGATATCAGACCCTGCATACAGAATCTTCACTTCCTCATGTAACTATTCACGCTATGTGAGCGAGTAGTACAAAGAGAATGTGTCTCCTATTTGTTCTCGGGTCATGAGTCTTGTGAACCGAGAAACAAGCAAATTTATCGACAAATATGATGGTACTCTTGATGTTTGCATATCCTCTATCTTGATGCAGTCCAAAGGCTTGAGGCCCATGGTAAGTAAGAAACAGTACCTCTGGTTTCTTGATTAAAATTCTCCCTCTCTTTGAGAGTTTCAGTGTCCCTTATTGAAATTCTCTGTCTAAGATCTCTCTCTACATTGTTGGTGATGTTGGCTGCCATTTCTGTTACAGCAAGTTTCAGAGCCTATAGATGTTTGTGTGGAAGATGAGACTGTTAACTATCTCAATAGGAAGGATGTTCAGAGGGCTCTCCATGCTCGTCTTTCTGGAGTTCATACTTGGTCGGTTTGCAGCAGGTATATATAAAGGGTTTCATTCTCTTGATTGAAAAGAAACAACATATATGCATTTCAAGCTAGAACATCTGTTAATGGAGATAGCGGTGGAGAAGAAGATGGTTTATCTGATGAAGAAACCAATTAACTCAACATGTCCCCAGGAGTTGGTGACCCATAGATGGTTATCAACATGTCCCCGGAGGTGCTTGGGCTCCGTCAACAATTGAAAGAGAGCTTGGGCAGAGAGATTTTGCATAATTACAATTCTCTCTTTTATTTTGTTGTTTTTTAACTCTTTTTTATGTATAAGGAGGTTTTATGTAAACATCCACCGAGTGTATCAGAGGAGCATGGGTCTTGACTGTCAATAAAACCTTTCCTACTCTTCTTTCTGTGTAAAATATGATCTGAGTAGATAATAAAAAGAATAATGACATTCGGGATACATATCTCTCTCTCTTTGTGTGTGTTCTTTTTCTGCGTTATCATTTGTGTTTTTGTAAATTTTTCATGGGTACATCAGATGAATGTTACCAATAATTGTGTATGATACATGGAGAACTTTTTCATCTTATTCTAGTTGATAAGCAAAAGGTTTAAATTTCATGATATGGTTATGGAACAACAAGAAATCCCAAGTGAGTTTACTCTTTAGAAGCTCATATCGTGTGCTTGCACAGGTAGCAGTACTCCGAACAGCCCCAGATTGAAGGAGACATCCCCAGATTGAAGGAGATATAAATGAGTAATGTTGTTAGGATCATTTTCAAAAAATGCGGGGTCATAATGAACCCAAATCAGTTGAGTGGGTTTGTTGTGTTTAAGACAAGACCAAAAAGAAGATATGCAAAATAACTACTTATTTGTTATACATCTACTTGTCCTTGTTGATTTTAGTGAATTAGCTAAAGATGGAGCATTTAATCAAGTAAAAATATATTCATTACATTTGATGCACAACATCAATATTGCATTCCTATTTCAACCTTACAATAATCATTATGTACAACTCCAAAATTACATACACAAAATCACATGTAAATGTTCAAAATCTCATATGCAAAGTAGCATTTCTAGCCCCAAAATTGTGTCAACATCACACCAAGAATGGTGTTCTCTAACAAATAATGATTACTTAAATTAACCTCTTCTTAATGGACAATTCCTATAATCATGGCCAATTTAGCCACATGAAGGAACCTTACAATATCTGGGTTTCTTGGCAACTTCAATATGGGGCTTTAACCTTTTTTCAGGAGGCTGCCCTTTTGTGATAGACCGAATAGGGTTTTTTACATGGATGCTTTCACAATGAAGTCTATTTTTATCCTCTTCAGTTGCTAGACTTGCATTAGATGTTTCATCAACCATAGGAGACCTCATGCATTCTACTTCTTCAACATGTTCCAAAATTCTTGAAAATTGCTCCATAATGAACTTGTAGCAATCATCAAATCTTGCACCTTTTGTACCAATTGTTGATGCTAGTGATTGTATAGTTTGGACACGCTCAACATATGCAGCTGATGTGCTCGAGCTAACATTTGATATCAATGATGTAGAGCGCCTCCAACGTTTTGGCAGATATCGATCTGGAATTTGAATAAAATTTTCCTTGAAGAGAACATGAAGAGAATGCCTGCAAATGATACCAGTAAACTCAAACCCTTTACAACTGCAATTCATAACATTATCTTTCACTGTCAAAGAAACTTTTCGCCCTTTTTCTTTCTTAGAAGAGTGTGTCACTTCATAGGTTCCATCATCATTTCTAGATGTCAAAAATTGGAAAGATGAAATAATTTCTTCTTGTATCTTAGAAAATGCATATGGAGTTAAGACGAGTGCTGCATGGTCTTCAAAAGGGCACGCTGTTCGAACATCCACATTGTTGGACTTTTGTTGCATCAAACGTCTTTGACCCACCACATCTCTCATCTCAATAACAACTGTCATCTACAAAAACGAGACAAATAAGTATAATAAAGAATAAAATGTCAATATATTAAAATATCACGGAAGACATTGAGATCATTATTTCTTATACCTGATCTATCAATTCACTAAGCGGAGTTTGTGAACCCAAGAATCATTTCACAGATGCATTGATTGACTCTGAACATCCCGTTGTCTTCATTCCAATAAAATGGCTTCTCAAGTATGGTAATGCCCAAAACTCTTTTAAATTCGACAGGTTGTTAATATGTCTATTTGAATGCAATGCAAACTTATTGATTGATGCATGCCAGCCTTCTTCAAAATCCTCAATGGACTCAAGGTTATATAACTTGTAAAAATTGGTGTCAAACTCATTATATCTTTACCAAGGAGGGAAAACCAGCCAGATAATTTTGCTAATAAGTGCCATATACAAAATGCATGCTTAGTGTTGGGGGGAGTTCCTTACAGATTTTTTCTTTGAGAGCCAAGTCTTGATCAGTTAAGATTGTTTGTGGCATTTTTCCATTCATTAGACCTACAAATGTCTACAACATATTATGCTTTCGAAATACTAGAAACATATAAGCATGCTCAAACACACATCATTGGTAAGAATATCAAAAAATTCAAAGCTCAAAATTTGTAGAAGATCACATACCTTCATTGAACTCTTTCATCTCATAGTAGAACACACCCAAACAAACGAGTGTCACCATGGTTTTTGACACCTACCCAAATACCGAATGGCATAGAGTAACCATTTGACCGGTAAGTTGTATCGAAAACTACATCACCGAAGATCTCATATGCACGAGAACAATAACCATGAGACCAAACAATATGCTCCAACCTGTTATCTTCACTAACTGTAAAATCGTACTTAAAATCTTTATCTCTATCTTTCATTTGATTACATTTTGTTAAGAGAATATGAGCATCATTGTCACGGTTCGCATTGTTCGTAGCACATACAAAGTTCTAGATATCTTTATCTAAAAATTGTAATTCCCTTGGTTTAAGATTTCTCTCTATTTCAAACAACCACATCATATCTCTAACACATATACCAACTTTGGAAAATTGTTGAATATGATGCTTGTAGCTTTCTGAAATATTATGATAAGCAGGCAAAAATCTAACTTCTTATGGCTCGAGAACATCATGATTGTGTAGATTACCAAAGGTTACAACACGCCAATAAGAAATATCAGAATCCATGACTTTTGCGATACTCATATGCGCTCCACAATTGCATCTCTTTGATGATCAATCTCTTTCTCATTTATTTGCAGACAATTCTTTGTTTGTCAAATGGCCGTCCCTATGGCAAACATAATATCTTCTAGTAGTTCCATTGCCATCACCTTCTTTTACAATTGTTTGTTGAAGACGCAGTGAAAACCCCCATGCCTTGGCAAAACTCTTGTAAAATTATAAGCATCATCATGACTTGAAAATATTTTTCCATGGTATGGAACTAAATCACTAGGAACTATTTCTAATGGGTTTCTACGATTGAAGCAAAGACCTCTACAAGCATGGTCTCCTTTGGAGGAGTTTCCATATACTTATGTACCTGTAAAAAAGGACTCAAGTTTGATTGTGAGTACCTGCAAAAAAATGAGTAAAATAGATAATATTGATATATTAGAGATTTTTGGGGTTTCTTCATAAAACTTATGATGGCTAAATAAATCAAAACCACAAAGACATCCATTTCACATTTTTTTGCATGTCTTTTTCTATTTTAATTTTATTTGTTTTTTTACTTTACATTCATCGCTTATCTAATGTGGTGAATCACATGGACCTCCATTTTACTTCTTCCTACCATTTAGAAAATACATAAAAATACTTTGGCAATGGGGATCTAAAAGCATGAAAATCTAGGAATTTTGGTATCATAACAGGCCTCTATTAGGAATTTTGTCGAATACTTTGTACATGTGTTGGATCTCAACAAGATTTACAAACAAGTCAATAACTGCAGTTCATTGAAACAAGTCAATAATCGCAGTCAATAATTACAAACAAGTAAAAGAATTTACAAAGAGAATGAAAGTAGTAGGGACAAGAGACTTAACATATAGGGCAATAATATCAAACTCACGGCTCATCTTAACTCTCCCATATCTATTTTGCATATATATTAAAGCGGGATATGATTTTGGTGTGCTTTGAGACACACCTGTTACATGGAGTCGACCTCCCAAAATCCATCATTGATATGGATTTTGGATCATATATTTTGTGGGTCTATCATGTAGGTCACTGTGATTATAAATTTGAAAGAGAAAGAGTTGATATAAAAATGGCAACTGGAGATTTTTAAAAACTAAAAAGAAAAGTAGGTACCTTGCCCAAATTTTACATTAAAAGAAAAACCAAATAGAAAATACATAAAAATACTTCGGCAATGGGGATGCAATGCATGAAAATCTCTAGGAATTCTGATGTCATAACAACCATCTCTTAGGAATTTTGTCGAATACTTTGCATATGTGTTGCATCTCAACAAGATTTACAAACAAGTCAATAACTGCAGTTCATTGAAACAAGTCGATAATTGCAGTAAATAATTACAAACAAGTAAACTTTTGTTTTCTGTCTTTGTATGCATCATTTATGTACTGTGGTGAACCATAGCAGTTCATTGAAACACAGACCTCCATTTTACTTCTTCCTACCATTTACTATCAAATTCAACAGTCCCCACACTTTAATAATCTTCAATGTTTTCTAATTCAAATAAACTTCAGTCAATTCAAGTTTCTAATTACAATTGAAGCTTTCTAGATAAACACAGAGAGACATCATTGAATAATAACGTTAACAGAGGTCCTAACAGAGAGAGAGAGAGAGAGAGAGAGAGAGACAGAGAGAGAGAGAGAGGTTTTTGACAACTTGGAGAGAGAAACAAGCACACAGAGAGAGCTGTGAAGCATAAAAAAAGATTAATGAGAGATTAATGAAAACTTACTTTGAGATCCACCGAATTGTTGCAGAACTTTTACAAAGCAATGGTGCAATCCAGGAGACCAACACCTCCTAGCGATGGGGAGAGAAAGCAGAGGCTCTACGTTTTTTAAGAGCGAGAGTATGGGGGAGGGCAGGAAGGAGAGAGAATGGGGAACACAAGGGGCGGGGAGGGGAGAGAGCAGAGGCTCTACGTTTTTAGGAGAGAGAGTATGGGGGAGGGCAAGGAAGGAGAGAGAATGGGGAAGGCAAGGGAGCAGAGTTGTGTATGAGAGAGAGGGGATAACGAGCAGAGGCCACAATTCAAAACTCCCCCGTTTCTTTGTAATTCATTTATGGGTTTTTAGTAAAAGTCTACAATGCCCCTAGTACATGATCACACAAGACTTCCGCGACCATCTAACTCCAAAATATCAATTTAGTGCTCGATGTACAACAGTCCTAAGAACAACATTCCCATTCAACTACCTACAAATTGCAAGAGCATTCACACACACACAACACTAACATCAGTTTGTGACTCATTTCATTATAAAGACAATAAACCCCTTAATTGTGGCTTATGTTTGTCCTCCTAACACATCAAACAACACTTCACACTTTGCAAGCAGCTGCATATTCCACAAAGTAAAACGAAAATTAAACTCAATTGTACACATCTCATTTTTGTCAGGTTTTGTCTTTAAATCATCCGTAAGGTATGATTAGTCAGGATTTGCCCAGTCTAGCATCAAATTTCTGCCATTAAAATATTTTTATCAAATCACTTCCTTGTAAAAATTGTAGAGCTTTCAGTTACTACACAAGATTGCCTTCATAATCCTAACGTATATTAGTTTAGAAGATTTTTACATGCGATAACAACATCAACCATCAAATAAAAAGTACAAAATTTTCATCAGATTAAAATTTCAAAAATAACAAATAATTTATTTGGAACATGAAATTTATTACCAATTTATGAGGTGTCATATTAGGTACTCTAAAGAAGATAATTTTTACAATAAGATTGTGAACCAGAAAAATATATAGAGTAGGTGATTGTGAAATTAAAATAAAATAACTACCTACCTTCAAGTGACGAGGTTTTTCTACAACAATCTCACTCTAAAGCTTGTTCAACTATGCATGAAGGAGTATCATTTGAAAATTTAATGAAAAATATGACAACTTACCTCAAAAGATGAATATGTTCATTGAGCTTCATAGATTGGTGAGAGTAATTTTACACAAAAATATTATAATTACAAAAGGTAAGGTCAGAGCGACCACTAGCTGATAGCTACAGTAAATACCCAACGGCTTGGATTGAATATGAACTGATTTAATGGTCACGATTGCATTTTGTATTTGAATTTTAATATTTTTTTATAAATGCAATTCACTTCAAATTTTGATCGTCTACTCTTGAAAAATAGGGGAACCTAATAAAAACATTAAAAAAAATATTTATAAAAAATAAAATTGACCAACATACCCTTAACATATTGGTTAATTTATTTTTATTAAATAATTTTTTAAATACTTTTATTAGTGCACCTTGATGAGAAGAATGGACGACCATTAGATTGGCTGAGATTTTGTCTGGGCATGTGGACTTATACTATTCCATCAGCTAGTGGGTTGATATGATCTTTTCCCATTACAACAATAAGAATATAGAGAACAATAAAAATTAGTATATGAAAGAAAAAAAAAATAAAAATTAATAGAAAAATTATATGATACCATATTCAAATAATGTAAAATAATTCATTAACGAAAGAGGTAGAAAATAACGGAGGATGCTAAAGGAAATAGTTAAATCCTATGTAAATCTACTTTACATATATGGGTGATCGGAGAAGCTTGCTCTCTAGAATTATTGGATTCTTATCTCCATTCATACTTCGCAATTCACATATAATGAAAGGCAAAGCTACTTGCCCTATAAGTTTAATATGTTATAAAAAAAGAAAATTAATTATTCGCTTGGATGACACAAATGGAAAGTTTGGAAAAAAATTTCTTAAATTTGCTCTATGCGTGGGTATTATTCTCTCTTTATAGTTGTTTTCTTTCAGAGTAATTTACTATATTCAATGATATATATAAGATAAAAGAATGTGTCATCTTTATTTAAAATTAAAAGGGGCACCTAGATTTTCACCCAGACAAATCTTCAATGACCTTAAGCAAATCTTAAATGATCTCTCTTGATTTTCTCTCCATCTCTTCCTCACTTATACTTCTCTCTCCCTTAAGTCTATTTACTTCCTTGATTTTCTTTCTATTTCTCTCTCTCTCTCTCTCTCTCAATATCCTCTCCACCTCTCTCTCACCCTTAAAGATAGGGATTGAGCACCCTCGGTTTTGTCTTTCTCCCCTTACAAATGGAAAGCTATCTAGCCCTGTGATTCTCCCACTCCCTTCTCTTAAGCATGGTAAGTGTATTTCTCTCTTTAAAATATTATTTTCCTATATTAAAATAGGAGCATTCTCTCTCTCTCTCTCTTTCTCCCTCCCTCCTAAAATGGTTGCGTAATCAGTCTCTCCAAGATGAGAATGTATCTTACATTCTCTATAGAAATAGGGCCCCTTCTTATTTTTACCCCTTAACTTTGACTTAGTAATGTAGTGAAGAAAAAATAGAAAGCTATCTATCCCTGTGATTCTCTCTCTCCCTTCTTTAAAATATGGTAAGCTTATTTATGTCTCTCATATATTATTTTCTTATACTAAAAATGGTATACTCTCTCTCCCTCTCCCTCCCCCTCCTAAAATAGGTGTATAATCAGGCTCTCAAAGATGAGAATGTATCATACAATCTTTATAGAATTAGGGACCCTTCTTATCTTCATGACATGTGTCCACCTCTTAACTTTTGCTTAATAATATAGTATAAAAAGATATTACACATTAATTGGATCTATAGGCACCTGAAAATCTTGAAAAGATTCTCATAATTTGTTAGAAGATACATTATTTTTTAAAAAATTGAAACTCGTTTTTATCTATCTCCATGTCAAGATGACCAATTTGATGGTTTTTCCTTCATGAGAAGACTCTCTTCTAGAGGATATTTGAGGTAAACTTTACTTGAATGGTATAAGGTTGATACCTTATGTAACTTTTTTCCTTAAAAATAAGCAAGCTAAAAGATTATATGCCCCGAGCCTCTGTTATCTCTTTTATTATGGATATAAAACCTGTGCGTCTTATCTTACATCCAACATCGATCTTAGAGATGGGAATGTTGCTTCCTATATACCTCAAAATAGATAGGGGAAAATAAATTAAAAATTTAAATTTTTATTCTTAAGAATTAAAATTTCAAATTCAAAATTACAATGATAATTGAGATCAACAAATCTCAAAATTTTGGATCCAAAATCCATCTTAAATATGGCTTTTGTAGGGGATCGTACATCTACATGTGAGTCGTCTCACTCACCAAACACTTTGCCTTTTCCAATTTCTTGCTCTTTTGGATTTCTTAATGATAAAAAAGAAAAACATTTTTAATTAGTTTTGGGTAATTATTGTGTAAAAATATTTTTAAATTAAAAATAGTTCTCATATTTTCCTATTTTTTAGTGAAGTCCCTTTTTACAATCAATTTTATTTTTCCTCAAAATGCCCCCAATACTTGAACTACCATATGTTGGTGGTATAAGACCAATGAGGTAGATACACGATCTTTTAAAAGTTTTTCATTATATTAAAACTCATGGGTTTAAATGCATGAATATCTCAACACAAAACCATAATACATATATATGGCTACAAACATGGTTTATATAAATTTGAATAATAAAAAATCCAACCCTAATAGGTCCCTTACCAATCTCTTACTAAAAAATACAATTAAACTCAATATAATGTTCAAATACTCACAATGTACATCTCTACTATATATTAAATGACTTGCACTCAAAATTCCTCATTGTATCAAAATTGTATGATAATTCCATCTTCATTCTTCATCCTCATCATATCTCAAACACATCATATATTTGATCATAATAATCGAATGAGATTTCAATTCACATAAACAATAAAGCATATCATTAAAGCTCATACCACAAGAATAAAAACAATCTCAATATTCACATAACATATTCAATTTTATTAATTATGAATCACTAAATAACTTTAAATATATCAAATTAACAAGCAAACATACATAGGGAAGCCATGGTTTGAACCTTTTGTGCCTCGGCCACAAATGGACCTTTTGAAGACTTAATTTTGTCTCATTGTCTAAGGCACGGGTGATAATAATAACTCAAGGAGCTGGGAAGCAAATGATCACTTTTATTTTAATCAATGAGGATCAAATTATGAGAGAGACATATATCAAGACAAACCTTCAAAGTTTGATATAGATACTACACAAAATAAGGAAGATATGGTGAAACTACACCATGCGGTCCCAGAGGGATTACGCAAACTTTTCCTTATGCAAAAAGGAGCTCAAGATAAGCTCAAGATATTATCTCATATGCTCAAATATAATAACATAAATCATTGATCAGATGTTTTTCTCGATAAAAATTCCAAAAAATTTGGATTAAAAAACTCAAAATGATACTATTCAAGATTATGAATTAAACAAGCTAGTCTACACATGCTAAGTGTATAGACTACTCTATTGTTTGGAGAGTCTACAAAAAGTTAGTATTTATGACCAAAAGATGAAGAGAGTTACTGTAAATTAAAAGTTATAACAAGCCTTGATAATTGAAATGAGGTAGGAATTAAAACATAAGAAGAAAAATCAATATCTTAATGAAACAAAAGTATGAGCTTGATCACACATATGAGGGACTACTCCTTGGAAGGGTTTGAAATGAAAGCTCTAGGAATAAGATAGTCTCATGGGTGTCCACATTTTTATCAAGGGGGCTCTCTCTCTCCCTCTTTGAAGTGAATACTCAAGTTAGGGTTTTGAAATGATCCATAAGTTATTTTTATACTTATATCATAAAGGTAGATTTGATCTTGAT